ATGCTGCTTTGCTACAAAGCCCAACCTTGATGCATCTCATAAGTGCCTTGTTTAATTTCATGGATTTACCTGGCAAGCAAGACAAGCAAAAGCCCTAGAAGATGCTTTTCCACCATCTACTTTGCTTCAGAAATGACCTTGCCTCTTGAGAGGCTTCAATAGAGGGGGAAATCTGTCCTTGTTTTCTCTCTTCTCCTCAGTAAGAGTGCCATTCACAGGGTACAGAGACTTGCTGTAATCAAGTTTGAAAGATGGGCTTGATTGAGAAAGGGCTCTTACGGGTGAAACAACATGTAACCACCCACATATGCCGCTGCTGCTCATTCAAATCCCTCAAAGACAGCAATACAAGTCTTTTTTATGTCGTCATCAACATGGTTGGGTTTAGACGAATACGGTCTATACCTGTTTAAGTGTTTTCCTCAATATACAGTGTTTATTTAGTACTCAAGCAAGCCTAATAAAAATGCAGTAAACGGCTTTGTGGTTGACATTTGCTTCAAGCTCAAGGCAAAACCGAGTGAACATTCTCCGATCAAAGAAATTTTCATTAGAAAAGTGACTGTTGCTTTATCCTCACTTGATTGTTACTGTCAGGAGTCCAATCAATGCTCCTCTTTTAAATGTCCTCGTTGATAATCGGCTGTAAAAACATTTGAGATATTGTCACAAAGACGACATAATAGTACTACACTTAAAACGGAGACCACAAGCACTTTAACAATAAAGTCGCACATTCAGAAGCACTGAAACTTGTTACCGCTGCCCCTTGACATTTATTAATAAATTAAATTTGCTACTGAATCACTACATTATATTGCTTAGCAAGAAGGTTGTTACGTCGCTGTTTTTTGAAGTAATTAAACTCTCTGCTTCATGGTAGAGAGACATTGCACAGACACAGGTAATTCACACACAGCTCTCTCTCTCTCTCGTTAGGCTAATTCATTCACATAAATTTAATAATTCGATCAAATTAATGTTACTTTACTGCACTATGTGTCTGATTTAAAGCGAAGACAATGCTAGATCTAAGGAGTGATAACTTACGGAAATAACCATCATTTTAACCCTTATAGTCAAATTTAGCTCTGCAAATGTCAATGACAGCTTTAACTTGTCATTGCTGGAAAATTACCATGGTATAAATGGGATATTAATTCACGGTTAGCTGCGCATTAAATTATTTGAATGTACTCTGTGTTGGGCGGCTCTTTGCCTCTACGTCATCCATTAAAATGGTTAAATGGTTAAACGCCTGTGAAGAGACGACTCGACGCCTGTGAAGAGACAACTCAACGCCGGCGATATGTTATGCCCTAAATTAATACATGATTAACTAACTGTATTTTTCTATGTACATTTCTGAAATGCACTTTCTGTAAAGCTGCTTTGAAACAATATGTATTGTGAAAAGCGCTATACAAATACATTCGATTTGAATTGAATTGAATTAAATGCACAGCTATTGTGGATTATCCCTTACATTGAAATCATATTCTTTTTAAACTTTCGAATCCAATCTTAAAATATATTTTGGACAATATACACTGAAGATGTCTCTTATGGTCACTAAGGCTGCATTTATTTGATAAAAAAAAATAGTAAAAACAGTAATATGGTGAAATACAGTATTACTTGTGAAAATAACTGTTTTCTATTTGAATGTTTTAAAATGTATTTTATTCCTGTGATGGCAAAGCTGAATTTTCAGTATCATTACTCCAGTATTCAGTGTCACATGATCCTTCAGAAATCATTCTAATATGTTAATTTGGTGCTCAAGAAACATTGAAAACAGTGCTGCTTAATATTTTTTGAGAGTTTTGTGATTTAACATATTTTTTCAGGATTCTTTGAGTACAAAGTTCAAAAGAACAGCATTTTTTTAAATAGACTTTTTGTAACAATGTACAATTCTTTACTGTCACTTTTGATTAATTGAATGCATACTTGCAACCCCAAACTTTTGAATGGTAGTGTAAATATATTTAAACTGAAAATATATAAAAATGACTTAAAATGCATGATGCAATATAAGTAACTATATGTATCTTTAGCCATACATAGGACATTTGTTATATGGCAATGATTTTCATTAGAATGTGCAGTAACTGAACACCTTATTTGCTCTCCCAGTTGAGCTAAGAAGTTTGTATTTCCTTGTCTGATACGTTGTTATGTGAACTTGTGAAGTAATGTGCCAGGGCTTGTCATTTTTCTTGGGAAATTGTTTACTGGCACTTCCTGAACTGGAGGCTGCTTCAAGCAAGAATGCTAATTGCAACATTTAACACACGCTGCGGTGGCCTCTGAGGGGGACAGTACTGTGATAACCTAATAAGAACTCGGCACAGTGTTTTGACAGAATATGACATATGTAAGTGCTTTTTGGGATGTACCAACACAAGGGCCCATCCTAAAAAGAGCTCTCTAGTGAGTGCTGCTGATTGTACTGAAATAGAATGACAACCCAGCATGAGGCCGGGTGAAGAGCGTCTTTCAGAGAGATAAGGCATGGCATCCGTTAAGTTCATTTAATGGCACTCACTCTCATTAAGGAAGGATACACAGCTTCGCCATGATGACTAGTGCGAATTTGCTCAAAATCAGTCTCTCTTTATTTGGGATGGTCTTGCTGGCCTCCATAACAGACCATGTATCCTACTTTAAACAACAGGGGTGATCAAAAGAAAATGTCTGTTAGAATAAATATTAGATGACTAAAGAGCTGCTCACACAGAACGTGTTTTTACATTCCACTATGTTGCTTTTTTATATTTTTTTGATGTAAACATGCTCTAGATGAATGTGTTTGACCATTGCACTTGCGTCTTTTGCAGTTTCGTGCATGAAATGCCATTCAAAGCTGAATTTTCAGAAGCCATTACTCCAGTCTTCAGTGTCACATGATCCTTCAGAAATCATTCTAATAAAATAAAATAAAACAAAAAAAAAGTGGCCCTCAAATTAAATTATACTCAACTTAAAAAAAAAAAAAAACATATCCTTGACCTTTTCTGTACAGTCCACTGCCTTGCGTCTTTTAATATTCTCTGTGAATGGACCCTAAAAGTAGAAGCTGGGGCCCGGGGCCCTAGTGGTCAAATCACACTGTATACAAGGTCAGGGGACCCTAATGGTCATCTGGTCCATTATCCCGCTCTACTTTTGCTTATTTAAACTTTGAATATTGAGAAATTTGTGGGGCTGGAAGGTGTGAGGCTGTTGGATAGAAGCCATTTTGCCCTAAACACAATGTAGCATTTTATCTGTATTGATTTGAGTGTTAAACAGATCACTCTGCTTTGGCTTCCTTTTTTGCCGCTGGGTTTAGAGGTGGACTGTCTGGCTCGCACTGTTGTCCGTTTTGACTCTACAGCCAGGATCTCTCATGGGACTCAGGCCAACACTCATCGACCCGTTTAGAATAGTTTGCACCATAGACTCATGTTTTAGCCACTTGATAGAGAGCATTAAACGAAGTGAAGTGCTTTTTATGGGTAGAGAGGGGAAATTAGTCTCATGTGGTAATGGATGGAATGACTAGAGTGTTTTTTTGGAAAATGAGGCCGAGTCCTCATGTAGCACAGCTGTATGTTTTGTTTGGCATGGCTGATTATGTACGCACCCTCTCTTTATACTTGAAGTGAAGTGGCCTTGCTTTATTTTAGCAGCGTCGTGTTGTGGTGGGCTCACGGGGGTCGGACTCGGGGGTGGCTTTGATTGTTTATATATAGCTACTGTATGCATTAAAAGCAACTGAGATCTTGCCTCCTACACGACACGTGCAATAAAAGAGGGTTGAGCACCACAGAACAGTGATGACAACATGCAATATCCAAGCAGAGAACGGCGAACGCTACCTAATCTCATTATGCTCCCTCTCTCCTGCAAAACTATTAGCTGTTTTCATCAGTGCCGGGATTATTTATAGACTGTAGGTGCAAGCTTGTGTATTCGAAAGGCCTCTGCTTAGACGCGCCTGCGTATCCAGAGAGGAATGAGAACAGAGGTTCCCATCACAAGGGAAGGGATCATTTCTGTGGCTTTACAAGATTTTGGGAATAAAAACAGAATAAATAAATTTGGCCCATGCTTTGTGTGCATTAGGTACTTGATGCATTTAGTATTGTGAGCAGTAGGTGTATGTATATACACCTGTTATGATTGACAGGTTGGTTAGAATGTGGTGCTACACCTTCCTTGAAAAAAAAAATTAAAAAAATTAACAGATCAACCCTATTGGCAGACTGAAATAAAATGAAACACTGTGCATTCAAAGTGACAGCTTTCTGGTGTGAAACAGCTGATTTCTGGTTTACTACATTGAGTATTTCCTTTAATAACAGCCTTGAATTACACTACCGGCGTATTAAGATTTAAAAGAACTGTTTTAATACCTTTTTTATATATATTTTAAAATACAATTCATTCCCGTGATGACAAAGCTGAATTTTAAGCAGCCATTACTCCAGTCTTCAATGTCACATGATCCTTCAGAAATATTTCTCACAGAAATAAATTACATTTTAAAATCTATTTAAATAGAAACCACTTTTAATTTGTAATAATATTTTACAATATTATTGATTTTACTGCATTTCGATCAAGTAAAAGCAGTCTTGGCAAGCATTAAAAACTGGCATAAATCTCTGAATTATTCCAAACTGTTGACTGGTAATGTATTCAATGGTTATCAGGAGTGAGCTATTGAAAAATAACACAAATGAATAGTGTTGATAAATAGATGCACAAAGCATTGTGTTTGTATTTTCTACTGAATTGAACATGATGTATACAGCAAAAAATAGACTCGGTGTGGAAAATCTTCTTGCAGCTACGCTTCTGATGTGCTGCTCCTGCTTTTGTGGGCTGTGTTAATTCCTGTCAATATAGGTAACTAAAATAAAAGTGAAGCAGATTTAGACTGTGGCTACAGTATGAGGTGTGAGTCTGCCAAACTAACTAGACAGACTCTTTCTTTTCTCGTCCTGTAGATTGAGTACATCATCACACGCCTCCAAGATGAAACTGAAGGTGTGCCAGTCAGAACGGTCAAGAGCTTCCTGTCCAAGATTCCCAGCGTTGTTACAGGTATACTGGCAAGAATATGGGTGGACCAGTTTGTGTCTAAACTGGTGTGTTATTTGATAGATGTTGATGGTGACGGGCCTTCGATGTCGTGGGGTTTTCAATGGTCGTTGTTAGGGCTGTCACTTTACGTTCGAAAATCGATTGCACAATCGTTTCGGACCAACCAACACAAGTTTCGAAAACGAAAATAGGGAATCGATTTTAACTGGCTTTTTTTTTTTTTTTTTACACCAAAAATGTGTTTTAGGTGGACAGATCAATACAGTATCAGAACATGTAGGATGCTGGAAAATAACAATGTCTTTTCTGCTAACCAAATTCGCTATTACTTCAATGCAAGTGAACAAGCGCGCCGTTATTTGTTGCTTAGTGACGTGTGTGTGTGTGTTCAAGTAAGCCAGAAATGCGCAGATTCTGTGCAATACGCTGTATTTAACATATCATGTGGACTCACGAGTTGCGTGTTTGCACTAAATCCGCGCAGATTTGTTTTACACGAACTTCCCCAGCAAAGTGAGTAAACATAGAAACACGCCAGATTGGCTCGTGATTTGACAGCGTTTCCCACCAAAGTTAATTTTTACCCGCGTTTGGCGGGTCGGAGGGTGTTAATCTCAATCCCTGAAGTTTGCACTCCTGTTTATCATTGTGCACGCAACTTTCACGCCAATAAATAATCAGAAATATTGCGACTTGTGCGTCTCAAGCTCAAGCGCCCTCTTTAGCCTACGCTCGTCCTAGTCTCGCGTAGCCAGACCTTCAGACTGACGGCTGAAGGTCTGGAATGGGCTCTATGCACGGCGGTATTTCCGGTGAAGGTCTAAGGATGCTGGATTACTTCCGCCGATCAAAGAGTCCAATGCTATACCGAGAATTTATATTGGTTTTTATACTCTATTGCTATCCTAAAGAAACGTTAGTCACAAAAACAGACAAAACAGACACTCCTCATTTTGTTTATGCTTCTGTGTTTATTATATTAAATAAACATAACTATATATAAAATTACATCTAAACGTATTAAAGTTTCGTTTCAAAGACGAGAGGACAGTAAATTTTTGAAGACTCTGCCATAATCCCGTTTTCCTTGGTTTTCCTCCGCTTTAAATCTCCCCAACCGGAAACGCACGAGCATCCTTGCGTCAAACGCGGAAGTTATGCGTGCATATAGCCCATTCATAGCAGCTTTCTTTGGCCAAGGCCCGCCCATAAGGCCGTTTGACCGACATGTAAAACAACCAATTACAGATCGTTTCGTTCAGCGTCACGTTTCGGGGCGTGGAAATGTCCCCACAACAACAGACCAGCGTGCAACAAGTCAGTCAGCATAGAAAATCAAAGAAGGAGAAAACAACTTCAAGAGTCTATGTCGTGAACCTCGCATACTTTTGAGAATCCTACGTTTAGCTGATCTTGATAAATGCTCATTGTCACTCATGTAAACACAACAGTTTTTCTTCCGCAATCACACATCTGCGCTTTGTTTCCCGGCGGACCGAAAATAAATGCGACACTCGCGCCCCCCGGAAATCCGATAAATTCAACCAATCAGATGACGACTTCGACATTCCTGAAGTGTTTCCAGTTAAGTGTACCATATGCATCAGACGTTTAGCCAACGTTCCGTGGGCGTGACGTCTGAGGCTGAGACTACGCTCGTCCTAATGCATGTTAGGTGTCCGTGGATTTGCCTGTATTTGGTGTTGAAAATGGAAACGTCTTTAGACATGGAAAATCGATTTTACAATCGATTGAATGAACACTTATGTCTAAAAAATCGATCAGGATTTTTCCACAAAAGTGACAGCCCTAGTCGTTGTTATGTGTGAGAAAATGCAATACAGTTTAATTGTAGCAAATGAGGTGTACACACTTTCGAATATTTTCTAATCAATATTTTCTGTAAATATAGTCAATATATGAGTGCTAATGTGGAGACAGTTAATTCACATGAAATATTGATTTTAAGTTTTTTCATTAGCTTACTTGCTTTAGTTCACCCAAAAATGAAAGTGGTAGTTGCATAGGTTGTCAATGGAGCTCTCAGATTTATTAAAAAGATCTTCATTCATTTGTGTTACGAAGATGAACGAAAGTCTTACCGGTTGGGAACGACATGAGGGTGAACAATTAATGACACAAGACGGGATTTTCATTTTTGGATGAACAAACCCTTTAAAGTGTAGAAAACAAGATGAACACGGCAACATTTATTAATTAAATTAATTTAGGAAGTATATGAAATTCATGGCTAGTTAGCTAACATTTGGCTTTCTCATCCAGCTGTTTGTGTCTTTTTTTCAGCCTTTTGTTTTTTGATTTTCTATTTTAACTGGGGACTTCTTGCTTGCTATCAGAATTATTATTAGCAGTCAGGCATGATTGTAATTCTGTAAGCGAAATAGGTAATTATTCTGAATTTGATCATAGGTTCACATTAGTCTTCATCTGATGTGAATGTACATGATTTAAATATTTATTTCAAAAGTATTATTCATTTCAGTTGGGTTAACTTTTTAATGAGGAAAAAGTTACTGAGTGTAACTTTTTAAAACAGCAATTTTCTTGTTCATCTAAGTTGTTGATGCTTTTTAAAAATATGTTTTAAAAGAATGTATATCACTGTCAGTGCTGCTAAAATATGTACACAGGGTTGTGCTGAGTTTCTGTTTGCCAGGGCATTTCACAGATCAGAGGGTAAATTCGGTGATAGATCCGGAGCCACACGATCCAACTAACCACTTTAACTTTCACAGTTTCCTTATGATAATAAATACTGGGAGAGCAGTTATTTGTTCTTTTAAGCCCTCAAAGAGAATAAACCTGAAGATATGGCTTGATCTGCTCACATCGCTAAACACAATTACTACAGTGAGCGGCTCTAAATGGATGCCCGCAGGCCCGGTTAACTAATAGCTGATTTGGAACTAAAGCGTTGATGTTGTACATGATTGAGGTGGTGCTCATGTAGATTTAGCTGGACTGATCTGACACGCACTGAATTATAATCCACTGTGGTGATTTTGTCTTGATGTCAATGCTTTGAGAAGTGAATGTAATTTATGCATACATTTGCATGTGAAAATAAGATGATATGTTTTCCCTTTTTAAACTTCAGGTTCAGACATTGTTCAGTGGATGATGAAGAACCTCAACATAGATGATCCCGGTAGGTCCTGATCTGAAGAAAGATACACATCTTATTGATGACTGCAATAAGTTGCTTACGTAAATCTCTCCTTTCTGTATTGACAGTGGAGGCCATACACATCGGCAGTCTGATCGCTGCCCAAGGCTACATATTCCCCATCTCTGATCATGTTCTCACCCTCAAGGATGATGGGACATTTTACCGCTTTCAGGTGAGCTTATCTACAGTATCTACCATCAACCAAATAAGAATCATGTGGATTGAATCCTGGCAGCTGTGGTTTCCAGGATGTGATCTTGTTTCACTTAAGCACTGCTGAGATTCTGAATCTACTGTGTGAAAAACACTATGAAGAAGCTCCACTGACCTTTACACCTGCTGAACAAATAGGATTGTGTTTGATCAGTGCAGCTGCCTTGTGAAGCTCTTCATTATTGACAGCATAGGTCAGGCAGTATATAATGAGATTTATTTAACATATTGTATACGTATAGACTTGAAAGGTTTGGATCAGTACTATTTTTTTAAAAAGCATTTAATATTTTTACTCACCAAGGACACATTAAATGGATCAAAAGTGACAGTAAAAACATTTATAATGCTACAAAAGATTTCTATTTAACTTTCAATTCATCACAAATCCTGAAAAAAAATGTACGGGCTCCAATAAAAATGCAAGACGCAAGAGATGTCCAGAGACATGTTTTTTAAAAGTTGAACTACTTTTAAATTGAGTGCCGTTTTATTTTGTTGAAACTGTTTTCTGTTTTTGTAGAAACGTTTCTTGAGCAGCAAATCAGCAGAATGATTTCTGAAGGATCATGTGACACTGAAGACTGAAGTAATGATGCTGAAAATTCAGCTTTGCCATCACAGGAATAAATTACATAATATAAAATATATGGAACACAGTTATTTTAAATTGTGTTTAAATTTTTACAGAATATTACTGCTTTTGACTGTATAAATGCAGCTTTGCTAATCATCTTTCAGAAGATGAGACTTCTTTCAAAAACATTTCAGAATTTTGTAGTCTGTATGTTAATTGTCTGTTGCTGTAGATCTAAGCTGTTAAATAATATTTCATCTCACTGTGTCCTCCAGAAATAGGTACATATTTATCATATAAAGGCTGATTCTTAATTTTTCAGTGATTTAGATGATTAGTGAGGAGATGGCCAAGGGCACAGTTTCCTCTGTGCCATTTTTGCTCACATAACTCAGATGTTTTACAGGAGTAACACTGTAGTCTTTTGACTGCCAAATCTTTAAAAGAGCCCTCGACAAAAAACTGATGTTTTGAAGAAAACGTTACTGCTCAACAATACACAATTCAAGTACAAAAGTATCCATGTTTTAAATAAACTTATTCAATTCAACCCCTCAAAATCCCAAACTGTAAGTTTTAGAGAAAAGCTAAATTCTCAGATGACATTTAGGCTATCTTTTCAATAAGCATGATACAGTATCAAATAGGGATGCCAATTAATGAGATTCGAGTTTCTTTTGTACATTCATTAATTACTCAGCGTTTCTCCGTAGTATGGCTCATCAGCTCATTGCTTGACGATAATGATCTCTATGCACCATCATTTGTTTTTTTTGCCGCCTGTAGTCTTTTTGACGGGCTCCACGAAGGCGAGAGAGTTAGTTCAGTTGGTAGAAATGTTGTTAATGGCTTTCATAACATGAATATCTTTATATAATATCTGCACAAAGCAGAATCATCATTTGACCATCAACTTTGGCTAGTAAGCAGGTACAGTAGCAGACAAGAAATTCTTAGTTCTTTCAAACTCACCTGATTTAAAACAAAATCCAAGTAAATCAGTGAAGTAGTAACTGACAATCCTTGAGTAATCGCTTCATCCCCCATATTGACCTCTGGTATTCAAAATATTTTTTATTAACAGAAACAGATTTCCTGTAGCTCAAACAGTAGAGCGTTGGCGCTTGCAACGCCAAGGTCATAGGTTTGATTCCCAGGGAAAGCAAGAACTGATAAGAATGTAAATGTGTACCTTGATATGCAATGTAAGTCACTTTGGATAAAAGCATCTGCCAAATGCATCTGTAAATGTAAGCTCATGTTGATATATTAAGCTAATTAACCAGGAATCATTTTGTGAGAATATTCAAGATTCAGAATATTCAGAATATTGAGATTCTCTGTATGTACTTCAAATAAAAAGATCAAGCTCATA